GGGGCAGCAAGATGGCGGCCGTGCTGGAGGTGGAGGTTGGCGGCCCAGGAGAGCGCGAGGCGGAGGAGGTGGGGGCTCAGGAGGGGCTGGGAGAATCATGGGGCCTATGGGGGCCCGCGGGGTGGGAGGACTGAGGGGGACGCTGGGGGCGGGTGGCCGTGGGGTGGCCCTGGGGGGTCTGTGGGGGGTCCCGGGGTTACCTTGGGGCCCAGGTGTGGGGCTGCAGAGCGAAGGAGCCTTCAGAAAGCTGTGAGGGGAGGGCAGTGCCTTCCTGTGTGCTTGGTGCCACTGTGCTGGGGGCACGGCGCAGGTGGAGGTGCTCTGGGAGGGGGGGAGGTGTGGGTTTCCACAGAAAATTGGGGGTTTGAGTGAAGGGTGTCAGATGTTGGGGCTGCGCTGGGCTCTGGGGGCTGCGCTGGGCTCTGGGGGCTGCGCTGGGCTCTGGGGGTTGTGCTGGGCTCTGGGGGCTGCGCTGGGCTCTGGGGGTTGTGCTGGGCTCTGGGGGTTCTCTGTGTGCTGAGCAGATCAACAGGGTGAGAGGGGAGGGCCTCAGCTTGTGCCATGGAGGGTCAGGGTAGGTATTTTGGATAACTACTTCTTCATAAGAGTGGCCAGGCGTTGCAAGAGGCTGCCCAGGGCAATGGGGACAGCTCTGTCCCTGGAAGTGTTTATGAACCATGCGAACATGGCACTGAGAAACGTGGTTTAGTGTAAAGGCAGAAGACACTGAAAGCACTGCTGCTGAGCAGAGCCAGCCCCATCCTCCTGACTCCTGCCATTTAGATACTGACCAGCATCCATCAGATCCCTTCTCAGCCTTCTCTCCCCCAGGTGCTCAACCCTGGGGCGCTCAGCTTGTCCCCATCAGGAGCTGCTCCAGGCCCCCAGCATCTCCTCACCCTCACTGGGCTCCCCTCAGCAGTTCCCTGTCTGCCTGGAGCTGGGGAGCCCAGCACTGGGTGCAGTACTCCAGGTGTGGCCCCCCCAAGGGCAGAGCGGAGAGGAGGAGAACCTCCTTGCCCTGCTGGCCAAGCTCTGCGCACTGCCCTCCAGGGAACCATTGGCCTTCTTGGCCACCATGACACACTGCTGCCTCATAGTCAGCCTGTGGTCAAGTGTTGGCCAACCATTGGCCAACCAGGACACCATTGGCCTTCTTGGCCACCAAGAAACACTGCTCCTCATGGTCAACCCTTGGCCAACCAGGACATCGCTGTCCCTCTTGGCCATGGGGACACACTGCTGCTTTGTGGTCACCCTGTTGGCCCTCAGGTTCTTCTCCACAGAGCTGCTTTTCCTGATCTGTGGTCCTCAGAAAGGAGATTCCTGTCCTGCATCTAGCAGAGTTGGATGCTCGCCCTGTCCTGCAGCCTTGGAGCTCTTTGGTGTTGCAGGGCAAACAGCTGACGGTGCTGCTGCTGCATGTGGAGCACTGGTTGTGGCCCTTCCCCAAAGGGGGGTGATTCTCTGAGCAGAGCATCGGTTCTGTGGTGGCTTTGGGGAATAGCACAGAAGTTTCCTTCAGAGCCCACAGAGCTGTGTGTGGGGAGAGAAAGGGGGGAGAGCTCTACATCCATGATGACCCACGCTGTCCCAGCAGCTGCACACAGCACAGGGTCATAAAGTTGGCCTGGTGCTGGTGTTTTCACTCTGTGTTTTCACACTGAACTGGGTCCTTTGGAGGTTGGGTTGGAACCTTGGGAGTGCTGGGTCAGTTTGAGGTGAGATTTGCCAGGATTGGGGCTGTCAGGAGCCCACACACACCTTTAAGAGGCTGTGATTTCATAGAACCTCTGGCTTGCAGGGAGTTAGAATCCTATAGTATCCCAAATTGGAAGGGAGCCACGAGGATCATCAGATCCCATCGAGTTGAGCATTTTGTTACCATCTGTTTCCTTCTTGTAGAATCATAGAATGGCCTGGGTTGCAAAGGAGCACAATGCTCATCTAGTTTCAACCCCCCTGCTACGTGCAGGATCACCAACCAGCAGACCAGGCTGCCCAGAGCCACATCCAGCCTGGCCTTGAATGCCTGCAGGGATGGGGCATCCACAACCTGAGAGTGATTGCTCTGCTGACAGCAGCCTGCACAACTTGTTAGAGGCAGAACGCTGACCCACTGCTCTTTCAGCAGGCTGGGAGCTCAGAGAAGAGCTCTGGCATCTCACAGATCTGCATCCTGCACCTGCCCAGCACTGCAGAGGCCACGTCTCCTGTGGGTTTTGCTTGGGGATGAGGTGCTGCTGCTGGCATCTTGCTGTGAGCTGTGTCTTTTCCTGCCTGGGGACAATTAGGACAATTAAGGAGCAGAAGGGAAGCGTGGCACCTGAGCCCAGAGCTGTGTGCCATAGCCCTGGGGACAAAGGTTGGAGCTGTGCCCTTGTGTACGTGTGGTATTGGAGTCTGATAGCAGAGTCCTTGCTGTGACTTCTCACACCCGTCTGAGTGCTGAGAAGCCTGTGCAGGGAGGTGACCTGGTGCTGGAGACTGCTTTGGTTTTAAGGCACAAGTTGAAAGCCCTGTGAGGAAGGCAGAAAACAGAGCCAGATGTCAGCCCCTTCCAAGCCCTGGGCTCAGAAGTTTCCTCCTCATATTTCAGAAGCGTCCCTGAGGTCTCAGGGAAAAGCTTTGCCATTTGCTGCTACCTGCAGGGATTGAGTTTCTGTGAGCAGTGTGGGAGCTCCTTCAGCACACTCATGTGTTTGGGGAAATAAAGACAGCAAAGCAGCCAACCCTTGAGACTGCCATTGCTGCTCCAACGTTGCTGTTGGTTTTTCTTTTTGTCTCCTTAGGTCGACCTTTCACACCTGTCCCCAGAAGAGAGATGGAGGTGAGTGTGTGTTGGGAGCAGAGCTGAGAGCGCAGAGGACGCCTTCAGCCTTCACCCACGTGGTGCTTTTTGCTGGATGGGAGCAGGAGCCTCTTTACAAAGGCAGTGCTAATGTTTGACCTTCAGAGCGCTCACTGCTTATCCCACCTTCTCTCTTGGCTGAGCCAACTTCAGGCAGACACTTGCTGAGAAGCCCTCTGGGGCTCATCTGTTCTCATTATCAACTTCTTGACGGTTCCTGAAGATCAGAGAATTGGCTTTGTGTATTGGATTGGGATTTTTTTTCCTAACCAGAACCATCTTTTTGGCTTTAAGACCGTGGATTCAGGCTGTTACACACCCTCATTCTGCCCTGGCTTGTGGCCAGGCAGCACTGCATGCAGGAAACCACAGGTGTCAGCAGAGAACCACTCTATGGCCATCACTTATTGCGGGTTGCACGGAGCTGGGGTTGCCTAGGCTGCAGCTGGGGTGGGCTGGCTGTTCTATGGGCTCCGTGGAGCAACTTGTAGAGCTGCCCTTCTCCCTTTTTCCAGCAGTGCAGGCAGCCCTGCCGTGCCCTTCGCCTGCTCTGTGCCCTCCTGCTCTTTATCTGCCTCCTCCCTCTTGCTGCAGGGTGGAACACGCACTGATGCACGCCAAGCACCGTGGCCACGAGGCCATGCACGCCGAAATGGTCCTCATCCTCATCGCCACGCTGGTGGTGGCACAGCTCCTGCTGGTTCAGTGGAAGCAGAGGCACCCTCGCTCCTACAATGTAAGTGTCAGCCAGAGGTTTGATGTAGTGCTTTAATAGCAGGCCAGAGATGGAGCTGATTTCACGTGCTGCGTTCAAGGAGATGCAGAAAGGGATCAGGGTTCTGCCTGGAGCAGGGAAACAAACCTCATGGCTTTCTTACTATGTTTCCAGGCATCCTCTGTGAAACATAAACCCAACTTGTCCTCCTGTTCTCCTCCACAAGAGCCCCAGGTGCTGTGAGCCAGCCTGACGTGCCTCTCCTCTGTTCTTGCAGATGGTCACCCTCTTCCAGATGTGGGTGGTGCCTCTGTATTTCACAATAAAGCTGTACTGGTGGCGGTTCCTGGTCATCTGGGTGCTTTTCTCAGCAGTCACAGCTTTTGTCACCTTCAGGGCCACTCGGAAACCCCTGGTGCAGACAACGCCCAGGTGAGTGTACACAGCTCTGGGGAAAGCTCAGCCCCAGGGTGAGCACTACAAGGAGTCCTTTCAGGTTTCACTGCCGCAAATCATAGTCTTAAATTTCTGCTTCGGGAGTCCAAGACTGTGAGCTGCCTTGGTAGAGGCAGATTTGTAGCTTGAATTAAGTTTCCAACCTCTGATGCCATGGGGAGATGAAATCCCTAACTTGGAAAGTAAAACGGTTCTGTTCATTTGGAGGAAATGGTCAGCATCTCGTTTTGAATTCTTTTGCAGGCTGGTTTATAAGTGGTTTCTGCTAATATACAAGATGAGCTACGCCACTGGAATCGTGGGGTACATGGCTGTGATGTTTACACTGTTTGGTCTGAACTTATTATTCAGGTGAGTGAATCTTTTGGGTGTGAGTGCTGGCAGATGTGTCAAACCACGGGGAATGAGTCAAAGCCAAGTGCTGAATGAGGCAGGAGACCAAAGAGACTTCTTTCCCCATTGTTGGGGTCGTGGTGAGATGCTGATGGGGAGCTGTGCTTCCAGCTGCTGGCAGCTCCCTCCTGCTCCATGCAGCAGTGGGATGTTCTTTGCTTCTCCAATAAACCTGCAACAAGCAGCCAACCCGGCTCTGGTGGTAGCAAAGGGCCTTATCCCAAGCCAGCTTTCATTTCAGAGAGATTAATTTCTTCTTGAATAATGAGCAGACCTGGCAGCAGCCAGCAGGGACATGGAACTGTTAAGTGAGGGCTTATTTGGAGAGGATGTGCCTAACCCTAAACCTGCAGCAAAACTCTTGGTGTCATTTGTTGTAGAATCAAACCAGAAGACGCGATGGACTTTGGCATCTCTCTCCTCTTCTATGGTCTTTACTATGGGGTCCTGGAACGGGACTTTGCAGAGATGTGTGCAGACTACATGGCCTCCACCATTGGGGTGAGTGAGGGCCGCCCCGATAACAGGGACTGGGATCAAGCTGCTTGCAGCAAGAACTTTGCCTCCCCAAAATGGGAAGGTGTATCGAAATCCACCTGGGCCTTTAAAATCTCTGGTGCTGAAGTGTGGTCATGTTTTTGGGGCCATGTCTTATGTCAATTCTTTATCTGTAGCCACAATTCCCTGTGGCTTGTACCTTATGCAGCTTGTGGTGAGGATAGGGCCTGTGTTCCTGCAGTGGTGGCCTAAAATACAGCACAAAGCAAAAGCTGAACTAGGGCACCTGTGGGGTGAATCACATTCCTCCTTTGCAAAAGTTCTTTAGGGCTCTGAGAACTTTGCATCCTTCTCCTCCTGCTCACCGCTTTGCTTGGTGGGCGTTCTGTCTGTAGGACTCAATCTTCTGTGGAGAAGGACCCAGGGGTCCTGATGGCCAAGAAGGCTAATGGTGTCCTGGTTGGCCAATGATTGGCTGCAGGTGGACCAGTGAGGCAGCAGTGTTTCCTGGTGGCCAAGAAGGCCAATGGAGTCTTGGCTGGCCAACAGTTGGCCAATGATTGACCATGAGGCAGCAATATGACCTGAAGGCCAAGAAGGCCAATGGAGTCTTGGTTGGCCAACAGTTGAGCACAGGCTGACCATGAGGCAGCAGTGTTTCCTGGTGGCCAAGAAGGCCAGTAGTGTCCTGATTGGCCAACGGTTGACCATGATACAGCAATGTGTCCTGGTAGCCAAGAAGGCCAGTGGTGTCCAGGTTGGCCAAAGGTTGGCCAATGTTTGACCACAGGTTGGCCATAAGGCAGCAATATGACCTGAAGGCCAAGAAGGCCAATGGAGTCTTGGTTGGCCAATGGTTGACCACAGGCTGTCCATGAGGCAACAGTGTGTCCTGGTGGCCAAGAAGGCCAGTGGTGTCCTGGTTGGCCAGTGGTTGACCACAGGCTGACCATAAGGCAGCAGCGTGTCCTTGTGGCCAAGGAGGCCAATGGAACCATGGGGTGCATGGCACAGAATGTGGCCAACAAGGTGAGAATGATTTTCCTCCCCTCTGCTCTGCCTCGAGGGGGCCAAATCTGGAGCACTGCACCCAGTGCTGAGCTCCCCAGCTCCAGGCAGATGGCAAACTGCTGTAGTCCTTTCCCACATGGATCTGTCAAAAGGTTTTTCAGCCCCAAAAGCTCAGGTGCTGCCCCAGCCCTCCTTAACACTTTGCTCTGTCCTTGCTCAGTTCTACAGCGCTTCAGGGATGCCCACCAAGCACCTCTCCGACAGCGTCTGCGCCGTCTGCGGCCAGCAGATCTTCGTGGACGTCAACGAGGAGGGGATCATCGAGAACACTTACAGGCTCTCCTGCAACCACGTGTATCCTTCTCCTCCACAGCCTTCTAGGAGCCCTGCAGCTTTCCCCATTAAAAAATGTGGCGTCCTGGGCTGCTCTGCTGATGTTGCAAATGAAAATGGACAACATCTCTGCCCCACGTGGACTTTCCACCACCTGCAGCTGTGCTGTCAGTTCCGAAAGTGGAAGTGGCTTTGGCTTTGTTCAGCTCTGCTGATTAGTTGTGTTTTTTGTTTTTTTTTTTCTTCTGGCTCTGACTCAAAGGGTGGAGATGGGAATGTGCTGTCACATTGTTTGCAGCCAGGTGCTTTCCCAGCTGCTCGGGTGCCTTGGAGTGCCGCAGGGTACTTGGGAGTGCTTACAGCCTTGGAGTGCTGCAGAGTGCTTGGGAGTGCTTACAGCCTTGGGGCTGAGCTTGTGGCTGCTGGAGGAGATGGGGTAGAGGTGAGGGGCTGCTTGGATGGGTTTGTGCTGGCTGCCCTGTGGGTGAGGAGCCAGCCTTGCCTTTCCCAGACCACGTGGTTCTGGTTATGTCTGTGTCACATTCCTGTGACTTCTTGGGGTTTCGGTTGCGTTGGGCAAATCCCTCTGACAGCAACAGGGTCATAGGAGAAGTATTAAAGGAACTGGTGAGCTGTCAGAGCTGGGGCGTGTGATGCGTGCATGATTTGTAGAGGTGCTGTCTGACCTTGCAGACCTTCCCCCATATAGGTTTCCCTGTGCCCCATTGCTGGCTCCTGCCCTCCCCTGGCTGCTCAGCAGGATCTCACAGCTCTTCCTGCAGCCTCAACCCCTTCCTCTGTGCCTGGAAGGCTCTGGGCCTTCTAGGAAAGGTTTTGCAATGCCACCATCCTCACCCAGCATGGGCACTTTCCATACCCTGCATGCAGGGCCAGTTCCTCCCAGGAGGTTCCCCTTAACGCTGCTCTCCAGCTTCCACGAGTTCTGCATCCGTGGGTGGTGCATCGTGGGGAAGAAGCAGACATGTCCATACTGCAAAGAGAAGGTGGACCTCAAGAGGATGTTCAGCAACCCGTATCCTTTCTCTGTGCAGCAGCAGCAGCTGGGATGGCAGCGTGGGTTCAGCTCCCAGCCCTGCACACTCTGATCCTGGAGTTGTGGAGCCCATCTATAGGAGCGGCCATAGAAGTCATGAAGCACAGAACCCTTGAGTTCTAGAGTGGGTTGGGTTGGAAGGGACTGTAACAACCATCCAGTTCCTGCCCCTGCTGTGTGCTGATCTCCAGATAGTGCTGAGGTCAGGGCATCAGGCTGCACAGCTGAGTGGCTTCAAGTGCAAAACAGAATGATGGAATGATTTGGGTTGGAAGGGACCTTGGAGCTCACCCACTCCCAACCCCCCAACTGTAGGCAGGGACATCTCCCATAGCCCAGCTTGCTCGCAGCCCCATCCACCCTGGCCTTGAAGAGAAATAGATCCATGTTGCATTGCTGGGCACTTTCCCTACCTGCTGACCCAGAGCTTAGATGAAACCCACCAACTTAAGACCGCATTCGTGCTTCCTTCACTCATTTCCCACACAGCTGGGAGCGACCTCACGTCATGTATGGGCAGCTGCTGGACTGGCTGCGTTACCTGGTGGCTTGGCAGCCCGTTATCATCGGCCTGGTGCAGGGCATCAACTACATCCTGGGCCTGGAATAAGGGCTGGGAGCCCCCCATCCCCACCATGGGCACAGCACGGCGCCGGCCGCATCCGTCCATCCATCCCCACACGGAGGGGTTTGGTGGGGGAGGGGGGGGAGGAACAAAGCAGCACGGACTCAGCCCTCCTCCCATCAGAGGACCCGGACTGGTTTTTAAAAAGCAATTCTTTTAATGAGAGTATTTAAAACCGACACACAAAAATGAAACTTTCTATCGCCGCCGATCAGAACGGATCGTCCCAGCGGCTGCGCAGCGCTGCGCTCGGGGCTGGATCTCCCAATCCTGCAGCTTTTGAAGGACTGGGGCTCATCTCCAGGGCTATTCTATGCTTGGAAAAGGCAGAGCCCACCAAGGAAAGACACACAGCTGCCCCAAAACGGAGCCGGCTTTGATGCAGGGGTGAGGAAGGAGGCGATTCTGAGCCCACTGCCTTTTGTACACCGTCTTTTCTACGTGTCCCATTGCTGGAAGTGCTGCCCTCGGCCATTGGAATCTGCGGTACACGGAGCCTTGGGGGCACCCATGAGCACCTCCACGCATCGTTTGCTCTTTAGCAGTGGGTGGAAGAACGGAGCCGTCGGGCTGAAGAGCTCTGCTCTGCTTCCCGGGGTGCGTGGAAGCCCCGGGTTCGTGGTTGGTGATGTGGCACGCTGGTGACTCTGAGCCACATGGCCGCATCGCACGGATGCCGTGATGGCCCACCTGCCCCCCCCCCGTCGTTTCCATTTTAGGGGCGAAACCGATGGGATGGCAGCCGCGGTGCCATCAGAAATCAATCGGTAATAAAACGTCTCCAAAAGCAGCGGGCTTCCAGGGGCCTCTCCGTTAATTAACGCTGCGTCGGGCCGAGGGATGGAGAAGGAAAAGGAGCAGGGGTTCCCGTCGCTGTCATCCCCGGGGGGGATCGAGCTGCTCCCGGCTCTGTCACGGCCTTGGGGACGTCCCCTCTTTACGGGAAAGGGAGAAGGAAGGGCAAAGCCGGTGACTCACCGCTCCCTGCCCATAAAGCGGCGCCGTCCCGAGCGCTGCCGCACGATGGCTCCGTGCTCCCACCCCGACGGTACGGGCACGGCGTTCCGGGGACGGGGTTTGGGGTATGGGGGGGGGGGGGGGGGGGGGGGGGGGGGGGGGGAGTTGGGGATGCTGCAACCCGGAGCTCAGCCCCATTTGTACCCACAGTGCCCTCCGGTCGCCTGGTGCTGCCCCTGCTGTGCTGCGCCTTCGCCTCCTGCAGCGCAGGTAAGGGGAGGGCATTATGGATCGGAGTGGGTAGGGGGGGGTTTATAGGGTCTGGGCGCGGCTCCCGGCCCCCCAACCCCTCACCCCACCCCGTCCCGCAGCAGCCATGGTCCTGCAGTCCCCCCGCATCACCCGGCTGAAGACCCCGGCGCAGCCCCCCCAGATGGGTGAGTGACTGCAGGGGCTGATCTGAGTGTGTGTCCCCCCCCCGCCATCCTTGGTGGAGATGGGGGGAGAAGAGGGGGTGATGTCAGCAGCACCCCGCTACGGCTGAGGGCTGGAGGGGAGCGGACGGGATGCGGGGATCCCCGCGGGGGTGCGATGGGTGAAGTGGGGATGTGTTGCGGCTGCACCCCCCCTTCCTCCCCCACTCCCCCCCTCCCCAAGGTGTGAGCCCGTCTCCCCTTGAACCCCATCCAGGCAGCAAAGTGAGCGTCTCCTGCGAGGCTGAGAGCGCTCACCCGGACCTGACGCTGCTCTACTGGTTGGGAAACGGTTCGTTCGTGGAGCAGCTGCAGCCCAACGTGCGCGAAGGGGCGGTGCGGTGAGTAGCTCAACCCTCCCCTCCATCACCACCCCGCAACGGGGGGGGGGGTGGGGGAAACACGGGGATGACGGAACCCTTCGTCCCGCAGTGAGGAAGAACGTGGTTCGCTGGTGACCCTCCGTCGGGATCTGCATTTCAACTCTTTCAGCTTCCAGGATCTGAGGACCAACTTCACCTGCGTGCTGCTCAGCCCCTTCGGTGTGGATGTGAGGGAGCTGAAATGGGCCACCCCCAGCAACGAGGGTGGGGAAACGGGCTGAGACCGAGCAGAACTCGTGATGAGTGTGAGCCCAGCAGTGTGGGGCGAGGGCTGCCCCATTGGATGCTGTGTATGGGGCTCCCGGTGGGGCAGGAAGGCTTCATTAGAGTGACTGCCTGGTGAGCTGCTTGTGCAGGGCTGGGAGGTGCAGTAAATAAAAGCAATAAAAGCAATGCTTTTATTAATTTGGAAGAGCTGTGGGGAGTTCTCTGCTGTTGTTCCACATCCGACTGCAGCATTGAGAGCGTCAGCAGTGAGAAAGCAGAGTCTGCAGTTTCCATGAGATGCGTTGGCACTTTGCTGCCCTCCTGTGCGTATGGAGGGGAGCAGTGGGATGGTGTGGAGGCCAGGGCTCTCCTATGGCTGCCAGGGCTGCGGCTGCCAGGAGGAGCACAATCAAAGAAAGATAATGAAGATGCCCTGCTGTTGAAGATATGACAGCAAAGCTGATGGCTGAGCTCAACACAACGCAGTGCCGTGTTGTTTGGGCTCCCC